GACCCTTCATCCACTGAGCCCAGTGCATCCAGGTGAGCCGGTTGACTGTGCGTCCAAAGTCTGAATGGTCCGGGGCAGAATCTGTGGGAGGGCTCAGACTGACTTGGCACCAACTGCCCCATCATTCTCAACCCCTAAATTAGCCTGGAAATCCCTACCCTGCTGCTACTCAAAGACCATAATACCCAGGCAGATGGCCGTTGATATCTCATTATAATCATTATAAAGCAGCAAGTTAAGATTACCCAGCAGAGCTAATGGACGGCTTCGGAAAGAAAAGGAACATTTTCACACAATCAAATAAAACCAGGACAGAAGAACTCTGATATCAAGCCTCGTTTCTCTCTGAATGAAGGAGGGGAGCACAGTGTCAGGGAAGGGGACACACACACAGTCCAGAGAGACTGGTACAGTAATCATGTCTCTCCTGTGAACTGCCTCAAGGGAGACCTCTTCCTTCTCTGTAGCTCTAGAGCTCCACACAGTCCACACTGCAAATGAATGAAGTTACCAGTCACCCCGACATGCACATAAGACCTTTCAGAGGAAGGGATGCACAAGCACCCTTAGAAAGATCTTCTTTCAATCAAGGCAACTCCTGGTCCTCTGGGCATTAACCTGAGGCAAGAATAGCCCCGAGTCCCCCCACCAGGAACGCTAACCCGAGAAACCATGGTTAAATCCAACCCTGCTTTTGGCTCTTGTTTTCCATGTCCCAAGGAACATCTACCAGATTATCTGATGCCCTTCCACCACGGTGGTTCCCACACTCATTCAGAGCCTGGGATTTTTTTTTCCCCCAGTGCTGGGATTAAACCCAAGGCCTTGTATATGCAACCACTGAGCCACATCCGTAGCAAGTGTAAAATAACTAACAGGCAGGGATTACTTCTCTTGCCATAATGCTATTTGGGAGAAATGAACAGGTTTCACAATAAAAAAAAAAAAAAAAAAAAGATCCAGACCGTCATGGAGGGTATTTCTGAAGGACCTTGGCCACCAGGTTTCCACGTTCTAACTACCTGACTGTGTCTGAGATGGGAAGAGTTGGGGCCTTCTAATGCTTTTCCTGGAACATACATCTCTGCTCCAGGCAGGTTAGGGTATGTCTAATATGACTGTTAGAGACAGTGGGAGCTGTGTGCACATCAATAAATTATTGCCTCCAGAGAAAAGCAGCAAGACAAAACTGGCTTAAAGGGCTAGTTACCCAAATCCAAAACTGCAAGATCTGCATCCAGGTGAGGACCTCCTCTAACCCCCAGAATGAAATTCCACCCTAAAACATAGGGTGATGAGGTCCCAAGAGTCATCCCAGAATGGGAAGTCAAGGACAGCCCTCTCCCACGTGTACAGTACAGGCTGTTCTAATCAGCTTGCTTGTGTCCACATGTGCACACGTGGGTGAAGGCAGCAGCATGATAAAGAGAAATGTCTGAGAGCCAAGAGCCCAGAAGAGACCTAGCAAGCACTTCATCTTCAATGTCACGAGCCATGGCGGAGGCTCGGCTAAAGGCTCCCCCCAAAAGCCAGGGAAGCTGGCTAAGAAAAAGTACTCTAAGAGGACCTCGGTTACCTACAGCTCCTGTTTGCTTCTAGATAAGAATCCTCGGCCAGCAAGATGGCTCAGCAGGTAGAGGTGTTTGCAACCAAGCTTGACAACGTGAGTTCCATCCCTGAGACCCATATCCTGGAAGGCCCATATGGTAGAAAACTACTGACTCCCACAAGTTGTCCTCCAATCTCCACACTCACACCATGGCACATGGATCCACAAATACACACATACACAAATAAACAAAAGCAGCACACACATTAACCCTCCCTTTTCAACACATGAAGGGTATCTCCTTAAAGCATAGTTGGGCAAGAGGGGCCTCTGAGGTTTAAGATGCCCAGAACTCACTGCCCCCTTGAAGGATTTGTACTATCTGTCCCAGGCCCCCAGCGGAGCCAGCTAGCCCTGCTTCCCGAAATCAAGCCAACTGATACGTTGTCCACCTTCTCCAGCAACACCACACCCAAAATGCCTGTGCCACAGCCAGTCAAATCACATTGAGCTGTGCCAAATAAGAGCAGATAAAACATTCTGGAAAAAGATAAACATTCCAGGAAAGAACCGCAAGGCTGCGGCTCCTCCCATCCCAGGCAAGCGTCCAGGTGGCCAGAAAAGAGAGCCTGGTTGCCGTGATCAGTACAGTACACAGTGCACAGTTACCTGAGGGCCTGTCACAAGGCTAGAGAAAAAAGCCTGAAGTAACTGGAATTCTCTGGGCAAATTGGAGAACTTCTCAGGAAAGGCCAGCTAACCCCTGGAGCCCACGGTGGAGTCGGGGAGGGTGGGACAGACAGCCAAGGACTCACACTAGCCCCACAGGAGAGGAGTCCCCCACCACCACCACCACCACCAGTACTCCAAACAATACAGCCTGCCCCCAGTCACACCCATTGTAGCAGCACAATTCTAACCTCAGCCTATCTAACATCCACTCAAATGTTCTGATAGACCAAAGACAGATCTACCAGTGACCTAACAGCAGCTTGGTCTGGTCCCTTGCCACCTCAAAGTTACCAGCTATCAACTGAAAAAGATCCAAGTATCTGGCTTAGACTGCTGGACACTAGAAAGTAGAGGAAAGTCGGGGAAAGAAACTGTAAGTAGTGAAAGAGCCACTGTGCTAACCCCCAGGGATGCTTTCTCCCAAAAACCTCAAAACCACAGCCAAGGGCTTTGGCTGACACCTGCCCGGCAGAACAGATGGGCTGGACTACACACACACACACACACACACACACACGCACGCACGCACGCACGCACGCACGCACGCACACACGCACACACACGCACACGCACAGGCATACACACACATGCACACACACAGTCCCCGGCAGATTTAAAGCTTTCTTAAGATTCCTCCTGGCCAGGAACTGCCCTCCAAAAGTTGCACCCAATCATTCAACTCTAAGAGCTTAATAAATAAATAAATAAATAAATAAATAAAACTTCTACCCTCATTTCTGGGGTTGTGGCCTCAGCAGCAGCAGCCTGAACATCAGTCCCATGCAAGACACATGAAGGTAGCCAGGCTAGAAAAGGCCCAGCCCTCTGGCTCCACAGTCTAAAAATGTTCTCTCAGGAAGGCCCTGTTGAGCTGTCTATTTCAGAATTAATTCAGCAACACCACATTACCAAACCCAACCCAAGAGAACTATAGTCACCACTGTCTCTCAGATTTCAGCAGGAAGACCCTATACTCCAAACAACTATAACCATGTTCACCTGGTTTTCGTTTTTGAAACAGGGTCTGATGTATCTCAGGCTAGCCTCCAACTTACTACACAGAAGATGACCTTGAACTGATTCTGCTGTCTTGACCTCTCAAGCGCTATGATTACAGAAACCTACCACCATGCTCTCAGTTTTACGTGGTGCTGGGATCGAACCCAAGGCTTTCCACACGCTAGGCAAGCACTCCTCCAACTGAGCTATGTCCCTGGCCCTAGGAACTTGACTAATTTGATCTGCATAATGCCCAGGCAACAACCAAAAACAAAAGCAAAAGGCCCAGACACTGTGGTCTGGGGCCCCACTCTCTTCCTCCTGTGCTCTTCAGGGCCATCTCCACGGAGGTCTAAGAAAACCTCAGACTGTATTGCTGGCTACTTGCTATCTTGGACCTAGCGGCTACTCTACTATGTACACAATCTCAATCAGTCCTAAAATAACCCTGTGAGGGAAGCACGGCCAAGCCTATTTTACACACTCGGAAGGAACACTATCATGTTTGAAGTTGGACATTTATCAGTAGGATTAATATTCTACTTCACTTTCCATAGGGCTATTCCTGCTTCCCAGATCAACAACCAAGTCCAAAGGAATTCAAATTTCTGCTCATGTTTGGCCAATTCCAAGAGGTTCCTCCCAAACTTGATATGAAAATATTGAAGTAATTATTGGAGAAATTGAGCAAGAGACTATATAGGAAGGCCTGCTCTGCCAGGGCTCTCCGGGAACGTGACAGAACTGCTGGCAGACTGCCTGCCTGTTTGTGGGGAGGTTGGGCTCCTCCGAACAGCATTCTCTAAAACCTGGCATTAGAAATGAGCAGCCACCTGGCTGGTCGCGGTGGAAGCAACCTGTGGTCTACAGGGCAACCAGGAGGTCTACCCTGGGCCAGCCTCCTAGTACTAGAAAGGTAAACCAATCTACCGGCTCCCTGCCTGGTGAAGGCCAGGGTTCAGTTCAGCTAGTCAAATAATGCCAGGAAAAGTGCAGCCCCCAGCGATCTGGATAATTTTAGCCCTCCAGTCCCCTGAGTACACAGGCCCTCTGCGCCTGGAGAGCGACAGACTCACTTTGGTTAAGAGGAACCTTGAGGCGGAGGAACATGGGGTGGGAGACGGAAGGCCCCTTGGTCCAGGAAATCCCACAACTGTAGCAACTTTGTAAAAGTTCATCCTCATCATTTAAACTCTTAGTTACAGTGTTTCATTGACTCCTTCAAAACAACCCCCTAAATAGATGCGGTTTATTATCTCCATTTACCAGAAAGAAACCTTAAAGAGAAAGTTAAGTCACTTGTTCAAAGGCGGAGTGGAGGAGGCTGGTGGTGAAGGAGGTGGTTTGCTCGCTGTCGGTCCCGTCCCCAAACGGTAGAAGTTGCTACCGGTGTTGCTACAGGTAGGCAAGGCTGGAAGCAGCCTTTCAGTCTACCGTCTACCCTAAACCGACCCCAACTCCAAAACGTCCTGAGCTTGGGCCAGAACAAGGGTGTTTCCAGGGCCTTCTCTGGTGCTGGGGCCAGAGGAGCATGAGGGCTTCCCAACAGGGCCCCAGCCTCAGAGACACTAGGCAACCTCTCCCAGGGCAGCCCCCAAGTTGGTCTTGGGGATGATCAGAACCTGGAGGCTGGCAGTCCTGAAAGAGATCATAGGATAACGCCCCGGGGACCCTGTAGAGGAAATCCGAGGGGTCCCTGACCTTGGATCTTAGTTCTTACCGAGCAGCGGGGACTCCTCCGGGCAAGCGGGTAGCGACAACAGCGCAGTGGTAGGGGGCACTGGGACCGAAGTCAAGTTGCTCTTCAGGCCGGGGTCAAAAGCCGCACCAGGGCTGGTGTCGGGACCCGGCCGAGGCTTCGAGGAGACTCCTAAAGGAGGCGGCGGTCGCGCGCCCCGAGGCCGGAGCTCTCCCGAGGGCTGCTTGCTGGCGGCGGCGCCGCCGCTCGTGCCGCCCTGAAGTGGCGGGGAAACTCCCACCAGCTGGGGCAGGCGGCTCAGGTCGCGGCCCGAGAGGTAGTAGACCAGGGTGACGCCGAGGTGCAGCGCGCAGACGGCCACGAGCAGGAGGCAGGCCCGCTGTAGGGTCGCGCCCGGCATCGCGGCGCTGCCGCCCAGGAGCGGTTCCCGAAACCTCATCTTCCCGCCGCGGCTTTAAGAGGGGGTGGGCTACGGCCGAGAGGGCGGCCCGCCCGCAGGCCGCCCGCCAGGAGCTACCCGACCACAGCGATCGAGGGAGGGGCCGAGGTGGGGGGGGAAGCTAGGGAGCGCAGCGCCGGCCGCCCGCGGCGGAAAGCCGACACCCCGGGCCGCCGGACTCAGGAGAGATCAGCAGGGAGCCACAGGCGCGGATGGGCACGGGGCGGGGCCTCCGCCGGGGGCGGGGCCTCCACCGGGTTTTCAGAAGGCGAGGAGAGCGGAACCTGAGGGGGCGGGGCCTCAGGGGCGGGGCCGCAACGCGGGTCTCTGAGGAGGGCGGGGCTTGAGGGACGAGGGGGCGGGGGAATGGAAGAGACCAAGGGGCGGGACCTTCAGCCGGGGTTTCAGGCCGCTAAGGGAGGGCGGGGCTTGAGGGGCGGGCCCACGGGAGGGTGGGATGGATGCAGGACGCAGCGGCTCCTGGGGACTAAACGTGGCGCTCCGCCAGCCCCACTGCATCCAGGGCTTGAACCGGCATCCCACGCCCAGCGGCGCTCGGCTTTTCCTTCTAGCGTTCACCGTGGGGCTTAAGTCTCTTCAGACCGTGCCTCCTCGTTCAACGAGCTGCTCTCGGGTGTGCGCTTGGGACAAGTAGCGTGTGAGGCCAAGAGGACTGGCGGGTAGCCCTTGGGGTTAGTGAGAAACTGGAGCGGAGAAAGGTCGTCTAGGAAACCGGCTTCGACGCCCCGCGAGGCCAGCGGACGGATTCTCTGGGGCGTTCCAAAGATCCTCTTAGCCTAGCTGGGTCCGCCAGACTGTGTTGGGGGTGGTGGTGAGAGCTAGCAAAGAGGAGCGGCTTAGTGGAGAGTCCTGCCGTGAGGGAAGCGACCAAGTTGCCATACTTTGGTGTTTGCCCGGCTGGGGAACCTCAGGGGCCAGCCCAACTTGGTTCTAGGTGCAACCGTGTAGGATGTAAAACGGATGTTCTCCTGCACACAGGCTTGTGAATTAATGCATCTTTCTGCCAGTCCCATCCCTACAAGCATGCATCCTCGCCCTGGGGTGAGAACCCTTAAGACGGGAAATGTTAACTAATTCTGGCTACTCCTGTGTTGTTATTCAGTATATGCCCTGAAATAGGGGTTGTTAGCTGTCTCGGTTTCATAGATGAGAAAACAGGCTGAGCAGTTTGACATTTTGTTGCAATCATATAAAATGTACTTTTCTTCTGTTGACTTCCATTAACTGTAAGCTGATGACACCAAAAATTTCCGTCTCTAGCCCGCATCTCTTCCCTAAGCTCCACCTTCCTGTATCATCTCAACTGAACAAATCCCGCCCACAACAACTTCACCCCTACAGTCCCCTTCCATCCTCTTCTCGCTCAGAAAGAGGCACCATTGTTTGCACAGTTCCCCCAGACCAAAACCTGAAAGCTATCCTTGCTCCCAAATGTTCCAGGCCCTCAGCACGTTTGCCACTGCCGCCTTCAAATACCAGACTCCAGCACCTGCAGCTCTGCTGCCATCATCCCAGACCAAGCAACTGTCATCTTGGCCTGGATTATAAGGTTGCCTTCTAAGTAGTTACCTGTTCCCGCCCCTCCCTAGTCTTCCTTTCTTCCTAGGTCAGGACCTCTGTACCCGCTCTTCGCTTGACCGGAAATACTCTTCCCTCAAATTTCATTCAGAGTCCTCAAATGCTACCTTATGGAGAAGACCTTCTTGGACTACTCTATTACTCATCACAAAATCTGCTTGACCTGCTTGTGTTTTGTTTTGAGATTAGTGTCTCACTGCATAGCCCAGGGTGATCTCAAACTTGGCATCCTCCCTCAGCCTCACAAGTCTGACTTTATAAGTAGGCCTGCATTATCATGACCAGGGATGCCTGTGAGCATCTCCCTTCCTTCCTTCCTTCCTTCATTTCTTCTTCCCTCTCTCTCTCCCTCCCTCCCTTCCTTTCTTTTCTTTCTTTTTCAAGACAGGAGCCCACACATTATAGCCTAGGCTAGCCTAGAACTCTGTGACGCCCAGGCTGGCTTTGAACTCTCATAACAATCCTTCTGCCTCAACCTCCCAAGTGTGGCAATTGTAGGTGTGAGTCACCTACCTGGCTTCTAGAAATGGTTGTCTTGGTATGGAAAAAAGGAAAGGGGAGCCTTTGTTGCTTAGTTTAAAACATAAAGTCACAAGTTCTCTTCTGAGAGCTGGTCAGGGTGAAGCTAACTCCACCATCCTATGCTAGTGGGGAAATTCTGGTTGGGCGTGAGCTAGACTGAGCCATATTAATTCACTGTCTGAAAAAAATAAGCAGAGGAAAATGGAGAGTCTTTCTAGGTACAGATGATGGCCAGGGAAAGGGATTAAAAGAATTTTAGGGCCACAGATCTATCCCAGGACCCTCTGGGCCAGAAAGCCAGGAAAAAAATAACAGCACCTTGGCCGGGCGGTGGTGGCGCACGCCTTTAATCCCAGCACTCGGGAGGCAGAGCCAGGCGGATCTCTGTGAGTTCGAGGCCAGACTGGGCTACCAAGTGAGTCCCAGGAAAGGCGCAAAGTTACACAGAGAAACCCTGTCTTGAAAAACCCAAAAAAAAAATAAAATAAAATAAAATAACAGCACCTGGTAATTGTCTAAGAAGATGAAGAGCCTTTTCTACCCCTGCCAGTTTACATGTCTGTTTCACCCCAGGAGATCAGCAGTAGTACCCAGCACATAACAGGCAGTTATTTTACAGGTCTGTCACACAACTCCCAGACAGTGTGGCAGCAGCTTTTCACTTCGGGTTGGCGGCTGGCAGTTCTGGTTCCTGTGGTAATAACCAAGGCAGTAGTGCAGTTGGACATTTCACAATAGCTTCACACAGTGCTTCTCCAAGCTCCTGTGGTGCCCTGGTGATTGGTGCTAATGCAGGCTGGGAGCTCCTAAGGCCTAGCTAGGTTGAGTTATGGGACCTCCATTCCCCAAGTTGACCCCCTCCCCAAAGGCCTCCCCCCCATGTAATGACTTAGGCTGACAACGGCTTGGTTGTCCTCACAAACTGGGTCTGGGGACACGTTCCAAAAGCAGCTCAAGATAAACACAAGAGCATTTCCTAAGACTCAGTCTTAAAACATCACTTCTGTTCGTGTGTGTGTGTGTGTGTGTGTGTGTGTGTGTGTGTGTGTGTGTTCACACATGTCAGAAGTGTGTGAAGTTCATAGTACAACTTTCAGAAGTCACTTCTTTCACCTTGGATCTGAGGGTTGAACTCAGGTCATTGTGTTCGGATGGAAAGCACTTTTAGCTGCTGAACCACCTTCTTGGCCCCAGAGCATCACTTCTGAGAATTCTTTGGGTTAAAATAGATTTCACAGCTATACATGGTTACACATGCCTGTAATCCTAGCAGCACTTAAAGGCGAAGACAGAAGAATCTTGAGTTTGAGGCCAGTCAGGGCTACAGAGTGAAACTCGGTCTCAAAATCAAAATTTTTAGATAATTTAAAGTCAGGTATGGTGGCATACACCTGTAATCTCATAACTAAGGCAGGACCATCCTTAGATAAATAACAAGTTCTAATCTAGACTGGGCAGTAGAAGACCCTGTCTAAAAATGAACAACAAAAAGTAACAGGGCAGTCTAGGTTCCAAGAAAGTTAAAAATAATAAATAATAAAAAAAAAAAATAAAGACTTCTTAGTGGATGTAGAAAGAGCAAGAAGTTTGCAGGCATCTCTAAGTTTTTCCAGTAGCTACAAATGACTTAGATTCTTCTCACGTGTAAAATATATAACATTTTATATCTGTAGTTCTAAGTCCTGTCCTCCCCAAAAGCTCATTCAAGTGCAAAATTTCATCATCTAAACCAGTTCCAGGTATAGTCCCCGAGTTCAGGAACCTGTAAGTTGTAAATTACCTTCTTCCTCTTCCTCATCCACCCTTCCTGAGAACTTCAATCCAGAAGCTACTAGAGTTCAACAGGGTAAGTAGTCCAGATGACACACACACGAGGGTAGAATCCACCAGGAGGAGAAGTGGGGGGTGGGGGACTGGGTAAGGACAGCAGCCTGACAGAGTACAGACACTCAAGCAGAGTAAAGGGGGCATCTACAGGGTCTCGGGACTAGCGTTTGGAAGAAAAGCTAGAGCAATCCGAATCAGGGTGTGCAGCCCAAGTAGGGAAAAGACATTGTTAAATACGGGCATATGGTTAAAAAGAAACTCAGTATGTGGATAAGGAGAGCTACTGAAGTCTTCAACTCTATGCCAACGGGAGGTAAATGCAGAGAACAAAAATGAATCTTCTGAAACTTTATTTGAATGAAAGTGATATGAACTCATGACTGTCCACTTAGAGGTACTATTTTTGCATTGCTGGCATTTGAACCCAGAACTTCACACATGCTACACAAAGGCTCTACCGCAGAGCTGCACCTGCCATCCACTCAAGTTAAAGACAGAGAGTGAAGCTGATAGAGACATCAGCAAAGTTATGGTATAAATTATGTGTGGTAGTATTTAAATATAATCATAGTCCTCGGGAAGTGGAGGCAGGAGGATCCAGAGTTTAAGGTCATCCTTGTCAAGTGAATTTCTGACTAGCCTGGGCCAAGTGAGGCCTATCTGGGGAAGAAAAAAAAAAAGAAAGAAAAAGAAAAAAAGAAAGAAAAGGAATGTGGGGCCGGGGTAGCTCAATTGAGTGCTTACCTAGTATGCTTGAAACTCTGGGTTCCATTCTCAGAATCAATAACCCAGGCATGGGTCCCAAACCTAGAATAGCCGGGGAGTGGTGATGCATGCCTTTAATCCCAGCACTAGGAAGGCAGAGGCAGGCAGATCTCAGAGTTTGAGGCCAGCCTGGTCTACAAAGGGAGTTCTAGGACAGCCAGGCCTACCCAGAGAAACCTTTCCTTGAAAAACCAAAAACAGAAAGAAAAAGAAAATGAGTCTGACTGTCTGGAAGCAGAAATTTACCAAGTCAGTGAGCACAGCTAGGCACCAAATCTCAGTTCCTTAAACCCCACCCTACAAAAAACAAAAACACAAAACCTAAGTGTTGTAGGAGAAAAGCCTACTCCTTGATAGGCCAGAAAATAAGATGAATCATATCATCAAAATGAAGATATGTAAATGGATTCAGAAGTTAGTTCAAAGAATTCTTTTTTTCTTTTTTTTTAAATACACCATGTCCAGTGAGATTTTTTACAAGCATGTAAGGCATATTCAATATCTGAAAATCAATTATATCAGTCTCTCCTTTTAGTAAACAATGAGAGAAAAATCTTAATATATATTTATTATAATGCATTCACAACATAAAAATATAATTTAATGTATGCAAAATATATTTTTTAGTTTTTGAAATTATAATTTTATTACAGCATTTCTCCCATTTCCTCCCTCTAAGCCCTCTATATACCCTGACCCTACTCTCTTTCAAATTCATGGCCTCTTTTTGTATTAATTGTGTATATAAATTCTTGATCCCCCTGCCTCAGCCTCCCTAGAGATTGTTGCCACACCCTACTTTGTCCTAAGTTTTAGTTTACTTTTTTTCCTGCCTCCAGAGACTGTCCTGGCTGGACCCTCTTGAGATCCTAAGTCTTGCCAAGCCAATGGTGTTTTCTTTCCTGTTGTCACAAATGCCATAAACCAAAAACAGTCAGTCTTTGTACAATGTCAGAGTTTACTGAATAACAGTAAATTCACAAGGTTTGGAA